ACCAGTGGTGTTTCCGGGGGGGGGGGGGCTGAGCGAATTATCGGCCGGCACGATTTTCAAATTTTCAGGAGCAAATAAAAATCGAATCGAATCGAATCGTAAACAGGTTACCTTAGGTATTACGGAAAGCATATTGATTACGACGTAGTGACCGATTACTCCCTGTTTTCCTCCCTAGTGCCTTCACCCTTGGGGCACTACTAAAATACATATTGAAGAGTTTATTAGTGTATGTCCTCTAGTAAGTAAAGACCATCCCGAGTCATACATTTTTTTGAAATTTTTAGAATTGATATATATCGCCTAAATCATTTATACATATTTTTGCATCTTTGTATATCTGATAGATATCGCCGACTCAATCATGCATGTATAACATTTGCGAAGTCTTTTATCGAGGCTACACGTCAAACAGGAAACACATTGTAATGCCATTTATCCGGATATATAGAGTTCAATTATGGACTTAGTAGATCAATCGTTTAGCCATTAGATTGATGTACAATGCTGTATGAACGATCACTATACACGAGTCATCATGTCGGTACGAGTAGCAGTGGTAAGTATCTAGATTATAATGATACTTGTTTTAATGTAAATATTATGAATCGTTGTACTGTATTACTTCACGTAACCTATTAGTACCACCCAATGGGTGTCAAACCGGGGGGGGGGAGGAGGACAGGTGGGACACGTCGCCCCCCCCCCGATTTTTCATGGGGGGGGGCATCATATCAAATGTCCCTCATGTTTTGTTGTCAGAAAAGAATGGGGACCACCAGGAAAAACTATTTTGTATACATTGCCAAGGAGATGACAGATAAATGTTCGTTAAATAAAATTAAAAAAACTAAGCTTTTCAGTTTTTATCTAAATTTGGACGATAGAGCCAACTGCGTTGAGACGGGTTGAGTATTAAAATGTTGCCATAATGTGCTATGCATTCCTGCATGGTGGTCTGGCCGCGCTCATCCATAAATACTATACACTGACAACTAAAATTGGCCTGTTGGACTAGCAAAATGCCGCTAGTTCAGACGGTGCCCATCTTGACTACTAAAGTAAACATGGGTGTTGGTCATATTCCTGCTGGACAAACGTGAAAGCGAGTCAGTTCTGCTAGACTATTAACTGATGGACTACTACGATATTAGTCATGCTCGCTGGACTAGCTTATACATTTGAATGGACTAGTTTAAACTCTGACGGACCAAGGAGTTTTAAGAGCTGGAGACCCAACTGGCAACAAATTATTCCAAGCAGCTGCTGTTTTCTATGGTTGCACAAAAGCAACACAATAGAATCTACTGGTGTGCTGTTACCTTTGATGTCCGAGGTTCGAAGCCGCCAATGCCATTGGAAAGCTTGAGTAGTGATTTTGTTCACAAAGAAATGTCCTTAATATTTCTCTTTTTATTTGGACTAACAAGGGTAAAATCGAACAGATGATAAATATGAATTGAAAAAGCCTAATTGTGTAAAGAAATTTGCTTACATATTGTATGATAGCAGCTTTACTTTGTGAAAAATAGTAAAATGTTACGGTCCTAAAACCTGCAATTTGACACTTTTCCGATTACCGGCTCACGAAAATAAAAAGGGAATTTGTTCATATACCGTTCTTTATGATGTCATATGTCAGATTAGTGCCCACACATGCCCAGTCGAGTAATTTTGAATAATATTTCAGGAGGTTTTGCGCCATTTCTTTTCGCTTGCCTCCTGTAAAGGTAAACACTGTGTACTGCTCGTATTATCAGACGAGTGGTAGCGAAAAGTAGTTATCATTACAAAAGCATATTTCCCTTTGAAAGTTGCCCTTTAGTTTGCCGCTAGGTAGGAATATTTTATCTACGTATCTGCAAGAAAGATCCAGTTAAAGGGATAGCCGAGTTCTGTTGCAGAGGGCGCTTCTCAAAAAAAAAATTGTGAGATAATGAAAAACTGAATGTCAAATTTGAAAGAACATACAATTTAAATGACAAAATCATCTTTGTTTGATCAAAATCGGTTCAGAGACGGCTGAAATATCGATAAACATAACGATTTCTAATACTTGTGTACCACCACAAATATTAGATAATTTGAACCAGCCGTTGAAAGCCGTTGCAAAAAAAAATAGCGCCTTTCGCGTTGTATTTCAGCCAATGCCGATGTTGGCTTTTTTGTTGGCTTTTTCGTGTTGGTTATATTACGCACAATCAGCCGGCCCATGGGTGTTTTCAATTAATTAATTAATGGTCACCGTATTTTTCTAAAAGTGGAGCTGAATTGGTGTGATCGTATTGGCTCTAAAATTACCTTTTTAGCAATTTTAAGTCCCAAAAGGTCACTAGAAATGTCATAGATAAGAATAAGAGCAATAACCATGCACTTTGAAGGCATTTGCGATCTGAAAACAGAACTTAACTATCCCTTTAAGCACATGCCTGACATATTTTATCCTGGCGGCATCGAAAATGGTACAAAGGGAATGAGCTAGATAGGACTCCATCTCTTAAAACTTCTTGGACGGACTAACTGCTTGACAAGCCAAATGTTAGTCATAACGGTGCTCATCTTGACTAGCATTTGCTTGTCAATCATGCTGGACTAACGTAATCGTTGGTCATTCAGGCTCGACTAACATGTTCCAAACAAGCTCTACGTGCCGGACTAACATGCTGGACTAACGTAATCGTTGGTCAGTCAGACTAGACTAACATGTTCCAAACAAGCTCTACGTGCCGGACTAACATGCTGGACTAACGTAATCGTTGGTCAGTCAGACTAGACTAACATGTTCCAAACAAGCTCTACGTGCCGGACTAACATGCTGGACTTTTGCTTCTGCTTTAAATTATACATGTATGTATAATGCTAAGTCTATGTGAAAATATGGATAAATGTTTATAAAATGGTCCTCAATGTTAATCCACTGCAAATTGCATAAAACGGTACGACGTATCGGAGAGGGGTATTAATATACAAAACCGCCAGCACCGAAAGGTTTGCTAGCTAGGCTCGCGCTAGCCCACAATGTATGTCATCACATCTACACTTATATATTTCTAATGTGGCCATGAAGTTTAAGTGTATCTTTAATACTACAGCAAGACTTACTTTTTTATGCATTTTACCAAGCATGCTTGTTAAAGTCCGACATAAAGATGAATATAGCCAGGTTATGTCGGCTAACGCTATCGGAAATCTGGATCCAGCCCTATTCCATAAAATACTCGAGTGTGACATCCGCGCTGACTTAACAACTAACCGACCGCTAAGCAAATGTCATCGTTATTTTCTTCTGGTATAGGTGACAGGCGCAAACAAGGGTATTGGTCTGGAGATTGTTCGAGCTCTTTGCCGCCATTTTGGACAAGATGGCGTGGTTTACTTGACTGCACGCAATGAAGGGCGTGGCCTAGCCGCTATTGAGCTCCTCCAGAAAGAGGGACTCGATCCCAAGTTTCATCTTCTTGACGTCACTGATCAATCCAGCATTGAGAAGATTCGGAATCATCTGGAAAAGGAACATGGTGGAATTGATGTTCTAGTCAACAATGCTGGTATTGATACACCGTTAGGTTGGCATTTTATATTTATTTTGTACACAGACAGATGTATATGGGACTACACAAATGGTGTCGGGCCTACTTACCTTGATTTCCTTATCTTTCTATGCTCATTACTCAGCCAGTATACATTTTCTACCAAAATTGTTTGGCAAATGACATTTATTTGTAATCTTGAACATTCAGTGTAAGTTTCGTTTGATTCTGTGAGAATTTTTTTTTGTTGTTGTTTAACCAGAACTCAAGTTTGTCTTTAATAGGAAAACGGCAATAAGTGGAAATTTATGCTATAAACCACTTTACCCAGGTACTCAAATGACATGGATGATTATAACATTCCTTGCCTCGAGGCCAGTCATTTTTCTATTTCAAAAAGCAAAAGGCCAAAGGCAGGTCGAAAACACATATTGTTGCTATGTCTTGCAAACCTCTTAAAAAACAAAACATTTTTTAGTGAGCGTCATTAAAGTGACACGTCAGGAGAGTTCATCCCCCAACCGTTAGCGAACCGATTAACTCATAGCCTGCCATAAGGCTGCATGCACGCTATTGTTATCGTGCTTTGTACATGGGAACAAGCTACTGCTACTCTGCTTCTTGCATGATTGCACGCATTCGTAATAGCAGTTATTGTTCATGCCCATTGGGCTGTGCCTAGTGTTTTGCACGCGTTATTGGTAGTACCATCGCGTTAATCCGATTATCTCGTTATAAATTTGGCACTGGGGGGATTGCAAGGATAAGAGTTAATGACATAATCTATGCAGTGAGTGATTTGAGTCAGCAAAATGAGTGAATTTTATGTAAACTTCTGGAATCAGGTAACTTTAAATAATGCTCATTTGACTCGGTACTACCTGGCCTGAGAGTCCCCTGCATCTAGCATCAATTGTATTTCGTTTGATTTGATTTGATTTGATTTGATTTGATTTATTTATTTTCCACTCAAATATCCACAAATTAAATGACATATATAAACCATACAGTAATACAATATATAATAGAACAAGTGAATTATACAAGTAACGAAAAACTGACAAGTATGTTCGTAATCAAATAAGTTTACAAAGTACATTTATGTTTGAGAATTAAACAACATATTTTAAATTGCTTGATTTAACTGAGAGGGGAAAAAAAGGGAATTTCAGAAAAGCTAGGCTTGTTGAGCGAGATTCCCAGTATAAATTAAATAATGGACCATCATCAACGTGCATCAAATTCTACACATGTCCGCTCCCAGAGAGACCAGAGACGCACGAACCAACTCGCCCGCGCCAGATCCCCGGGTCCCCCCCCCCCCCGCCAAGGCCCATTCAGCGTACAACAGTCTGCCGTTCATTTCAATATAGAGATGGAGAGATCTACGCCGGTTTAGACTTAGTCATTTTCACTAACCTTGTTTTACAGAAAGAAAACATTTCGTTTTATGAGAAGCGATTCCGCGTCATGGAGGCAAATTTCTTTGGGCTCATATCCGTCTGCCAGAGTCTCATTCCCCTGGTGCGTTCAGGTGGAAGGTATGTTTTTTATGCAACATTCTTATCCTAATACAGTCAATCCTGCTTTAGTGACCACCAGAGGCGGCCCTCCCGGGGGGGGGGGCAGGGGAGCACAGTGCCCCCCTCTTTTCAAGCACCCGAAAAGTGCCCCCTTTTACCTAGGAAAAGTGCCCCTCTGTACATTTGAATAACGCCCCTTTTACGTTGACAAGTGCCCCTATTTCTTCGACAAGTTACCTTTTTCCTTTGCAATAAGTGTCCAATTTCCATTCTCATAAGTGCCCTTTTCAATCTCTAGTAAGTGCCCATTTTCAGGTACGAGAAGGGCCTCTTTTCACTTTTGATTAGTGCCCACTTCACCTCTGATAATAAGTGCCCCTACCCCTTTTAATAACTACCCCCATTTTAACTCGGATAAGCGCACCTTATATTTTCACATGTGCCCCTTTTCAATTCTAATAAATGCCCCTTTTCCTAATGATAAGTGTGCTATTAAAAAAAAGCCCCTTCCCCTTCTCATACGTGCCCCTCCTCTGGCAAATTGCCCTTTTCAGGTACGAGAAGTTACTCATTTTCACTTCAGATAAGTGCCCCCTTAACCTCCGATAATGCCCCTTTAAAATCTGATCGGTGTCCATTTTCTTTCAACCAATGCCCCTTTTCCTTTCTAATAAGTGCCTCTTTTCCTAATGATAAGTGCCCCATTAAAAAGAGCCCCTTCCCATAAGTGCCCCTTCTCTGGTAATGACCCTTTTCAGGTACGAGAAAATACTCCTTTTCACTTCAGATAACTGCCCCGATAACCTCCGATTAAAATCTGATCGGTGCCAAATTTTGCGATCTCACAAATATTAAAAATTGTCCTTGCTCGCTTCGCTCGCTCGCAAATAATTTTTCAGACCATTACACCCGACTGCAAAGCATGATGCTTAAGGAATATCTTGTTTGGTTTATGAAGTGAAACAAAATTATTGAAATCATCCCTGATAATGTAATAACAATATAGGGGTATATACCTATGTCTAAAAGATTGTATATTTTCGCTTTGAGATTTCCCTTTGTAGGTGACCTTTTTTTCTCCAGAAAGTGCCCCTTTTTCTTGGTCCCCCCCCCCCCCACTTTGGAAGTCGCTCGGCCGCCCCTGCCTGTCCACAAAGACCACCTGTCTACACGGACCAAATTGTTTGTTTCCCTTGAAAATGGTTTCTCATTGAAACATGTACTTTAGGAACCTGTCTACAAAGACCACATGCCTTCAAAGACCACTTTTTGTGTTTCCCTTGGGCGGTCGCTATAGACAGGTTTGACTGTCCATGTAAACACAGACAGGGTAAATACAATTTGCTTGTACTAAACATTAAGGAATTCAAATTTCCATCTGTCTTAAGGTCTCTCCACACCAAACACGACAAACGAAAAAAATATGTTCACACTATAATCGCTAAAAGGCCTTATAAGATGGGATGACGATGTCCTGTTTGATGTTGAGAATGTCGTAATGGCATTTATTTGAGTCACAATATTGTTTGCGAAAACGAGGTAGAAAGTACGTCTTTTTTTCTTCAAAATTATTCTTTATTAGGGCTTTGTAAAAAAAAAATCGATTAGTCATGTTTGACTGTGAATGATACAAATGATGTCTGCTGGTGTACGGTGTAATGTAGGATTCTTTTTCTTTGTTTCTTTTTTCTACCTGGCATGGTGGCTCAGTAGTTAGAGCGCCTGCCTCATGAACGGGAGGTCGTGGGTTCGAACCCCGGCCGAGTCATACCAAAGACTTATAACAATGGGACCTTCTGCCTTCTAGCTAGGCGCTCAGCATATTAGATTGGAGAAGGGTAGTAATAACATATTATGTTATGCACAGCCCGCTGGAAGAGCAGTTTCATAACTGAAGTGTCTACCCTGGGTAAATAAACCGTTATTATTATTATTATTATTATTATTATTGTATTAACTTTCACATTAACTTAAATTCGTTAACTCCCTACATTTACAAATTGGATAATTCGTTTACATTGTAGGGAGAGGGAGGGGGAGGGTAGGGGGGCATAGGCCACAATATCTCCTACACTTCGTGTATTTCTTGATTTACAGTGATACCTTACGTTCTTTTTACTGGTAAGAGTGAATTTCTTTATGTTCGTCGAAAATCTGCCAGGGGGATTGCCCCTTAGCCCTTCCGTAAATTAAGCTAATGTATTATATCATACAACATCAAAAATTCGACTCCCTAGCTCTATTTTTATCTTCTAGGATTGTAAACGTAGCGAGCACAACAGGATATATCGTATTTAGAGAGCAATTAACTGATGAAATAAGGAACAGATTTCGACAAGTTAAGGATGAACAGGACGTTGTGGACCTCATGAATGAATTTCTCGAGTAAGTAGAATTGAAATACTATAGAGCATTTGAACCAGGGCTGCGTTTCACAAAACCGTCCTACGTACAAGTACCCGTTACAGATTTTCAAGGGTACATGTCTAAAAAAAAAAAAATTCCCCTCCCCCTCAGAAAAAGACCCCCCCCCCCCCCCCCCAAAAAAAAGAAGAAACACACAACACAAACAAACAAACAAACAAACAAACAAACAAAAAACGTCCACAGTCTGTTTGGTAGTGGCAGTCAAAACCTCTATTTGGTTTGGTGGTGTGGTTGTTTTTCCTGACTGCTAATGCCTAGGTCATATTTGCCGCCGCGGTCGTTGGGTCTGAATATATACGGCCGATAACAAGCTGCGGCCACAGGTATCTCTCGATTTCGAGGGCCTATGGCCGCCGTCTTCTAGCCGAAAAGCAAATGTGACCTAGGCATAAGAAAGCATGTGTATTCTCGTAATGGGAAACTACGGGTTTAAGACCTCTCCCAGAGACTCGACAATTAGGATTAAAGCCTTACCAAAGGGCACTAGTCCATTGGTTTGGTTTCGAACCCGGGACCTCCCAGTTAGAGAGATACTACTCTACCACTGAACCATCTCGCCTATTTCCTCTTATCTTGGTCCTCCATTAAAGTATACATCAATGCTTTCTTTTAATTACGATTGGTTTTGAGGCTGGGTCGTCAATTTGGGATGGCTCTGTGAACAATAAATACGATGCAACATCTCCTCCAAAGTGTCGATACACATGTATGCACATATTTTTGTGTAGGCATGCGTAAACGCGCAGCGATGAGGCAACTCGTATACCTTTCAAAGGCGCCATGGTTAGACAAAAAGCGAGATGGTGAGTTGTTCGCCCAGGCGCCTTGGGCGACTTGATGTGCTTTAAGTTTACGACTCGCGTTCTCGTCTCCTCTACTTAAACAAGGCGCCTTTGTGAGTTTAAACAACTCACCTTCTCACTTTCTTGACTAAAACCAGGCATATTGGCGAGTTAAACAAGTTGTCCTGTCGCTGCACGTTTAAGCTTCCGTACAGACTCCTGTGGGTGGCTGTTGATCATGTCCAATACTCTCTGCCTCTGACTACGTTGCAGGTGACACGTGCGGCTTATATTCCTTCCAAACACCGCAAGAACTTCTTGCGGATATCGCACGGGCGTCTTGTGATTTGGTGCGAACAGACATAATGCAGCCGTAACGCATCGCACGGCAGTTGCACGATACTATGTAAGAAGGGTGCAAAGAACCCACGGCAGATCGTTAGAAGGAAAATAATAATTATATTCTGCTTTTATACAGCGCCCAATACATCGTTACAACGTTGTGTCTAAGCGCTTTACAGATATATTATTACGCCGGTCATCGGTTATCTCTTCTCCCTGGGGTGCATTCGGGCCAGTCGTCATTTTACAAGCGCACACTTGCTCGTCAAACCACATTAACTTTCGCATCCTACCGGCTACCCATTTAACACTTTGGAGGAGAGCGGCAAATGTACACTGTTGGTCATGAAGGTGGAATAGTTTTTTTAACCCAAATTTATGGAATGATTTTAGCAATGATTTATTCCTAATAGATCTAAATAATAGAATACACTTTCAAATTTTATTGAATAATAATTGGCGAGTGTCTGTTTTGCAAAACTTCTAAAGCATGTGTATGCTACTATGCTTAAATACTGGGGTACCTACGCTCTTAAGTCATAACTGACAGTTATGGGGATTAATGCCTCACAAAAGGACACTAACTCATCCCTATTTTCACGAAGTGACGGAAGTGAGGAAAATCGCATACAATTGCATACTCTAGCTGATCGACACGGTTTTGATCCTGGGGTTTTGACACTCATCAGTTATTATTCAATAACATTTGAGAATGTATACTATTATTTAGATCTTTTAGGGATAAATCATTGTCAAATTCATTCCATGAATTTGGGTAAAAAAAAATATTCCACCTTTATGACCAAAGGTGTGGTTTAACGTCTTGCCATAGGACATTAGTGCTGCGGCGGGACTCCTTGTGATCTGCTGTCGGTAGACTCATCCACTAGACCACAACGCCTCTGATGTACGAATCGCAGAAGTTGGGCTACAGCTAAGTCCACAATCTTACCGCGGCTTCGGTCACGCACGTTAAAAAAAGACGCATGGTGTGTTCCGACCTTAGTGTACTCAAATACATTAGGTGGTTCTAGGACACCTACTCCCTGGACATCCACCCTCGGATAACCACCCCCAGTAAACTAGCCCCTAGGACAACTAGCCCCTAGGACAACTAACCCTGGACAACTACCCCCGGACAACTACCCCCGGGCAACTACCACACGGACAACTACCCCCAGACAACTACCACCTAGAGACAACTACCCCCTAGGGCAACCACCCTCTAGGACGAATTCCCCCCTGGGACAAATACCCCCTGACAACTATCCCAGTAAACTACCCCTAGGACAACTACCCCCCGGACAACCACCCCCTGACAACTATCCTAGTGGGCAGTTGTCCAGGGTTAGTTGTTTTAGGGGGAGGTTGTCCTAGGGGTAGTTGTCTGGAGGTAGTTATCCGGGGGGTAGTTTTCCTGGGTGGTAGTCGTCCTAGAGGGTGGTTGCCCTAGGGGTTAGTTGACTGGGGGTGGTTATACGAAGGTGGATATCCAGGGGGTAGGTGTCCGGATACGACATTAGGTACGTGTACTCTCTTTGATTTACAATAATTTATGCCAGAGGAAATCCTCAGTTTCTAATAACAGACCTAACCTCTATTATGGGGACTACGTGCATTTTCATTTGCAGGTGCTGCAAGACGGAAACTAACGCAGCTAACGGATGGACAACATGGTCATATGGGGTTAGTAAACTCGGGGTGATCCTACTGTCAAAGATACAGGCTGAAAAGATATCACTAGATGAATCAAGGCAGAATATACTTGTCAATGCGGTAAGTACAGTGGCGGTTACACCGAAAAATCTGCCTATTTCGTTCGCGGATATTATGTTCCACCAATAGTGATACTACGTCTAGCATTGCCAAATCCCTCTCCAACATAGTTTGTGTTAAGAAACTCCTCCACGCAGACGGATTATTCCGTGTATAAAGTATAGGGGCGACCCGACTTTTGCACAGGCGACAGATGCTCGGGCAAAATTTAGCTCCAGGGATATTTGTTCCAGGTTTTTGTGTGTCTTTGCTATGGGGTTAGGGTTGTATTTGGGTTGTAGGCCTACATTACATTTTCTTCTCTTGATGGTAGATCTAGGATTCTCTATCAGAAATTAGGGGGGGGCACTTGTTAAAAAAGGTCCGCTGACAAGAAATAGATACAAATTAGTCAAGAAGATATTTACAATTACCAGATGTTTACAATTACATGCTTCCTAAATTTTTGGCTAGGAGCAAACGTGCAGGGGTGGTGATGGGGGGGGGGGGCGTGCATGTTCAGCTAGTCCATGTGTTTCTCTCCTCGTCTCCTGGCATGGATGTGGGTGTGAGCTCTGTGTACGAGCATCTTCTCCCACATAGACCTTTTACGGCACTTCATGTCCCATTTTTTAATATTTCCTGAATGAAAAAAAAAATACAGTTTCACCTTACAACGAGGAGAGACAACCATTTTAAGCTTCAATTAAGAATTAATTTCTTCTTAAGTTGCGCATTTTTGTGGAAGAAGTAAACAATTCATGTTCTATACCATGAACTATAGTGAACCTCCTCGGGATACTTCGCGTGATGCACATCTGTCGTGTAAAGCAAAACAAAACTAACCTTTCGAGATCATATTGGGGAACAAATCTTGAATGATTCTGAGATAAAAACGTAAAAACAGACGCTTAACCCAAGAATGTGCGTAGCATTTGATTCCATTATACTTTGTTTCTTGTTGTTGTCAGTGTTCCCCAGGCTTTGTACAAACCGATATGACTGCTGACTTACCGGAAACCGAACACGACGTAAGCATCAAAATAACGACTGTAGAGGGCGCAGATACTCCAGTTTTTGTGGCACTCCTTCCACCAGGCGTAAAAGAGCCAAACGGACAGTTCTTGTTGCGAAGAAAGGTGTATGACTTTCTCAACACTGACGTCATCATCCAAAAATGAGACCCACTAGAACACCCAAATGAAGAATATTTACCCATAATGTCGATGATGAATCTAATATCCTGTGCTGTTTGGGCCAATGTGCTTTTATTCACTCTTCTTCAATCCGTATTTAATATAGTGAAAATGGTTACCATGATTACGATAAAAAAATTACAAAATATACATAAATGGAAAGCTGATCTGACGCAGAATACAAAAACATGCACAAAAAAATTGTGTTTTATTTCGTTCTTGAACAAAGACTTCATTTTCAGCCCCTCTGAATTTGGGGTACACAGCTAGACGACAAATAACACATAACACAATTCCCACAAATAACAATTGTGCGCGAGTAATTGTTTTGAACAGTTTTGAAATCTACTACTATATCCTAAATCTGAAATTTGAAGGGAGTAAATTTAGTAACAGTACGGTTGTCAAAAGTCCGCCAATCCAGGGGCGTACGCAGGGGGGGGGGGGTTTGGGGGTTCAAACCCCCCCCCCCCCCTCCTTTGGTATTTTTATGTATGTAAACCCCCCCTAAAAAAACCTAAACCCCCCCCCCCCCCCCCACTGAGCGACTTTTCGGCTGGCTGAGTCGTTGCGATTTTTTTCGACCTCCAAAAAAAAAAAAAAAAAGTGTCCGCTTAACCCCCCCCCCCCCCCCCCCCCCACTAAGCGACTTTTCGGCCGGCGCGATTTTCAAATTTTCGGGATCAAAATATTTTAAACCCCCCCCCCCCCTTGAAAAAATCCTGCGTACGCCCCTGCGCCAATCGGTAAACCTAAGTAATAACAGTAGACTATAGTCTAGATCAGACGCGTACGCAGGGGGGGGGGGTTGGGGTTACCCCCCCCCCTTGAGTTTTTTTTTATGTGTATGTTTTTTGGAGAAACCCCCCCCCCCCCCCCTTTAGATTTTTTTTTTGTTAATTAAAAAAAAAAAAAAAAAATTATGGAAATGACTGACCTAAAAAAGGTGACCTTACCCCCCCCCCCCCCCCCCAACGGAACAAAATGTCAAATTTTCAAATTTCGAGACCCCCCCCCCCCCAAAAAAAAAGTGTTCTCTTACCCAGTTCAGTTTGATATACTAATGATAATAATAATAATAAAACGGTGCTTATAAAGCGCTGTTACCACCTTAGCCTCTAAGCGCTAGATATATGATTTATCCATTTCATTTTTTAGTTCGAAAATGGTCTTTAACTTTAACTTCCCTTATACTGTATACAAAAGGCAATCTTTACATTTAACGGAACGAATTGCCATTAAAATAAGTACTGTTTTGCTATTCATAGCTCTGTCTACACGGATGATGTGTTCATAGTTTTTACATTTTCCTTCTTTGGTTACCATACTTTCGTTATAGATGTTCGATCGTTTGTGTATATGAAAATCAAATCCGTTTAAGCCATCCCAGATGTTGCAAAAAGAATCTGACAAAATACAAAACTGAACTATATTGAAAAGGGATTTATTGAGACAAATATCAAATACAATAATTTCTTTAAATTAAATTATATCACAATTGTTTTCTTAAAGAGAAGGTTGAGTTCTGGAAAAGATGACCAATAATTTGTAAACTTTCCCTTTTTTCTGTGTAAGTTTTGTTAGACTATCACTTAAATCAAAGAAATACTGTATTCCCTCAAAAGGATTGGTCTTCGATTTGAATTATGACGAGAAACAGCTATTCAAAAAGTTTAAACCGAACTCTCATACCGACACGCGTGTGCAGTCCCACATGTTCATTTCTATGTGCATGACACGTGACTTTCATGGACACCGAGTCATTTGCCCGGCCCCCTCACTCAGGTTTCGAAATGACCGCATGCGTGTTGCCAAAATGTCCGGTAAAGGGGTATTTTTCGTGCGACAAAGTCCGGCCCGAGAATTGTAAAAAAAAGGGGTGTATTTGACTTTTCACCCGGAGATTTCTTTAAAAAGGGGGTGTTTTTTTTTCTTTTCTCTCATCTATTTGGACTCCTGAGAAATTATTCCGAATTTAGGGGGGTACATTGAGCATTTTTCCTGATTTAGGGGGGTCTACAAGGCAGGAAAAGCCCGCGAAAAGCCCGCGAAAGGGGGGTTCGGAAATGTTGGCAGTCCTCAGATAGGGGGTGATTTCAAAAAGAGGGAACGAGCATATGCGTACCCTAAAAAACACTGAGTGGGTGGGCCGGGGTCATTTGTTACTGATGACAAGTTTTGTGATAAAGGGCACATTACTCGACTACATCTTTAAACAGAACTCGCATGTACTGTGAAACCTGCCTTAGTGACCTCCTGTGTAGAAAGACCACCTGCCTACATTTGTTGTCTCCCTTGAGTGGTCTTTGTATACAGGTTTCACTATATATACTACAAAATCCAATGAAAAGTCAAGTACATGTATACAAGGTTTACAAGGTGAAAATGTTTCAACAATATTTTATTGACGAATTATGAAAATTGTACTAGAAGAAGGTTTATATATTCCAAAACAGATGATCACACCCTTGATATACTCCATATAAACATTTACTTTGTGTAAGACATGAAATGTATTAAAATCAGCTGCATTGACTATTATTGATATGTGTGGTTTATATTACAGAGTTTTGGTATGGGGTCATGAATTTGGTTCAAATTAACATATTGGAAGCATATGCGTTCCTACAATATTCATTGATCATTTTCCATGTTGAAATCGAGTCTAAAGTTATGAAATTATAAATATTAAACTCTTTATGTTGTATAGCTCCCTCTCAAGGTCAAGATATCAATTTAGCTATGAAACAATGTTTTTTGACTAAAATCGACCGATTAGCTATTCCCGTTTGAAAATTATATATCACAACTACATATTCTGAGATTTCCATAGTCGCAGCAACCATTGTACGGCCGTAGGCGCTATTTTGATATTCATCAAAATTTACCGTTAGCACCGGTAAATTTTGATATTCAATTTTTCTCGAAAGCAGAAGTGTTTTAGGGGTCAATTATTTTAGTGCTTATAATACATCCAGAGGGGCATCCAAATATATCAAAATTGTAAAGATTCACTATCCACCCCATTTTCAAAATTTCCCCAAACTTTGTATTACCTTTAATATACAAGAGTTACTGAAATCCCAATTTATATATGTAATGAAATGCGTGAAAATAAATCAATATTTCAAACATCCTTATGCAAATGCTAGTCCGCATAATATTCGTCTGAAATTACAAATGGTCCCATTGAATGAGAACAAACTACCATATACCACAATGTTGTTTAATGTTTAGATGGGCTTTTCTTTACCAAGGTTCTTAGATATCTCAGTCGTGATAGCTTTGCTAGATTTGTGAATTTAAACAATATTTAGAGAAAGAAAGAAAGGAAAAAAAACTCTGCCAAATCTATAATAAAAAACTCCACCAGGAGCAATTGGCACTGATATAATCCCCCAACAATGTTTCCAACGTGGTACACCCGAGTACTGATAAGGGGAATTTCCAAGATCTGGTGTGCACGTTTTGAATCCCAGATAAAGGACTTTTGTTGACAGTTGAATTTGAAGTATGCATGAAATATGGACCTTCTTAAAAAATAACCAAACTATTAGTAACTAAACTGGACAGCAATTAAAACAAATTCAGACCTGATAAAAGCACATACTAATACATAATTTCGAAGGCTCATTGTTCCGAAAGTGAAATAGGGTTCGTAATTCCGATAATGAAAAAGGTTTATAATTCCGTAAATGAAATAGGCTTCATAATTCTAAAGGATCATAATTCTGAAAATGATTTAAAACTTTGTTTAATTTTTGTTCTTCTTGGAATTACGAACCTTCGGAATAACAAACACTAGTTCATTTTCGGAATTACGAGCATTCGGATTTATGAACCTTCGGATAAACGAATCTTCAGAATAACACATGTTCAGTATTCTGGATCCTGTGTTATTTTCTGAATCATAAAACCCACTGGTATATATGGGACATTTGTGATTGGGAATTACGAACCTTCAGAAAAAAGACCGGTGCCTCCCTTTGTAAACCATGTAAATAAGCCTTTTAGGCATATCCAGTATATGCAATTTATCCCTATTACATATGGCATAAATGTCAAGTAAATATGATACATTATAGTAAATACAGATGAATTATAAAAGTAAAATGACGAATAGTGCGGAAACTCGGTGCCAGGTTAAAAGAAGTACAATTAAAGTGGTAAGAATATCTGAGGTAAAATTGCTGGAGCCGAGGCAAACATGTCAGTGGTAAAATTATCAGAAGTACACAATCTTTGACAATTGTATACCTCTGACATTTTTTACATCTGATAATTTTGCCTCTGACATGTTTCCTTAAAAGTCCCGCATTTCATCTCTGACACTTTTACGTCTGACATCAGTCTTTAAAGGACAAGTCCACTCGAAAAATAACTTACTTTCAATAAAAGCAGAAAAATCAGAAAAACTAATCAAAAAAAGTTTGAGCAAAATCGGATTACTAATAAGAAAGTTATGAATTTTTGAAAAAGTATGTAAAACTATGGAACAATGAGATTCACAACACAAATTGCCAAGATGGTTATCAGTTTGTGACGTCATGTCCTCACAACTTATCAATTGCTTTATATAGTTTAATCCCATTAATTTCCCTTTTTATCCCCCAAAACTTGATTTCCCCATGCTTTTGCCCAGGTTATATGATTTGTATCATATTGCGTGCATGACATTTCCCAAAAACTTTTATGAATTTTAAGGAAAATGTTACTTTTTTTTTAATATTGTATTTCATAATTATCGATTTTTATATAAATAGTTTATAAAAATTCATTTTTTTGTCATGATTTAACTGGATAAAAATTACTGTTTATTTGTGCATCCACACAAACACATATTACTAAAAAATCTCACTTGGATGCTGGTGTGAAGAAATACGATTCTTAGGGTGAAAATAGGAAATTTATATTGTTAATATACAGAAAATAATTAGTGGATAGTGAGGACCATACGTCATAGACTCATGAGTGAGTTGCCAATTTGTGTAGTGATTTTCAAAGTTTTTCATGTCAATAAAAATTCATAACTTTCTTATTAGTTATCCGAGTTTGCTCAAATTTCTTTTGATTGGTTTGTCTGATTTTTCTGGTTCTATTGAAAGTAAGTTATTTTTGGAGTGGACTTGGGCTTTAAAGGAAACCTCAACCCAAATAATCAGTGTAGGTGTTATGAAAAAATAGATGTATTCATACCCTTTGATGTATGATATTCCTTACGAAAGTGTACAAGAGAGATATATATGAATCAGGATATTCTTGGCATGATGTAATGGCTTTAGCATGACATGGGAGCAGCCATTTTCTTGAAAATGTGACGTACCAGGGGTAGTTGTACATGTATAACGTACCAAGCTTTAGTAGCAAAGACTTTCTAATTCAAAGAAAAAACCTTTACTTTTCAATAAGGGAAAATCATAGCTAAGAAGGAAAACATTATATTTGGTGAAACATATATAACAAGGGAAAATTGTAACTACACGTATACTAAAATATAGCAGTTGACAAGTCAATTTCACTTAGGCGAAACCTTTACCCCAGAAAAGCACCAACTTATTTACGCCATTTGGGGTTCTGGTAATTGAAGTACAAAGGATAATATCAGGTGAAAGTTATGCTTCATCACCAAACAACTGGGAAGGAAGCATCTATACATTTAATTCTACTTGATAATCGACGTCACATAGTACGTAACGTCATCAAGAAAATAGCGATGCCCTTGCTGAGAAACTGTACATCATTCTTGCATTAAGTCTTTCCTACACCCTTTGGTAGGGAATCGCGTAGATTAATGAGTACAATAAATCTCTCAGAATAACTAAATGTATTTCTTTGGATGAGGTTTTCTTTAACTTGTACATTTTTACCAAGTTGCCATACACTTCGGGATGTGACTTTATGAAGCTTCTTCCTTCGCAGTCTTGTTGTGGTATTTGAGGAACGTTTGAACTCCACGACGGCCTTGCTGTTTGCGTGAATAGAAGAGGCGAATAATATATAGAGAGACATACAGACATAATGAGATGGAGAGAGAGACAAGGAGAAAGAGAAAAGAGAGAGAGAGAGAGATAGACAGAGAGAGATAGAGACAAAGGGAATGAGAGAAAGAGCGAGAGAGAGTGAATGGAACATGTTGTCAAAGGAGAGATAACGACTAAAGACAGAAAATTGCAAAACATCTTCAAAGTATTCCCGTTCATTGCGTCCCGTACGATATATGACTTTTATCCAGTTACAGACAAAAACAAAATCTCTTCATTTGACAATATTATTGTAATGATATTAAATTTTTTTTAATGGTATTAAAGATTTGATACCTTCATACGTGTTCGTGAATATTTTCAAGGTACATGCTTTGCGAGTAAAAATTATTTTATATTAGACTATTTAGGATAAAACATGGGAAATATATATTTAATCAAACCCTCAATTAATCTTTTCAGCTTTTTACTACACAATAATAACCGAACTTAAATGATTACATAGAGATTCACAAGTGTACCCTGGTGCAATGTCAAACGCCTAAACCTACTAAAGCTGTGAATCAATTCAATCAATTACTCCTGACGCAGGTGGACGAATAATACAAGCAGTAAACAGCAGACCAACAGAAGATTATGATACCGTGGGGCGATGGTCTATAGTTGTACATTCAATTTGCAATGAACCCCAACCCCACCCACCCTAAAGATGGATAATTATGAGAATAAAAGTAGAATTATAGAAGGGTGGAATGAAGACTGGAAAAGTTGTGAGGCAGTCCAACAATTGGTGGATTTCAAATGGTAACCGCAGGTATATTCACAATGAAATTTTCTTTTAGGCATTCAAAATTGTATAAAAAGGATAATTCAGATATGTACCAACTTTATCTTGTTCAGTATTCATACTATTATTTAATACAAGAAGAGTATGTACCTCTACTAAGAAATCCAGGTCCTCTGTCTCTGGGCTGAAGTCCATGGATTTCACATAGACAGTGTTGATGAGTACCGTACGCTCAATGTCCTGGCCCTGTAGTCCCAAGGTTCAATAAGTGGAAGAAAAGTGCAGAAATAAGATCGCATAGACCTTCGATAAATCAACTCAATGGCAGTTTTGTTTTTGTTTATAAGTCCCGAAGAAATCATATTCAGATTACGTTCTACACTGCCAACAATTTATTTCAAAATTTGGTGGACAAGGTTGTTGAAAACAAAAGTCTTTGCGATCGGCTTTAGGGGAAAAAGACTGATCAAGCTCTTATAAGAGATGAGTGGGATGAAGATTAAAACGGGGAAACATACAAATGGATACAATACGTACTTCCGAATCCACCTCCCCGACGCACCCTCGAATAATCGTCAAACTTTGGCTTTGTTCATACCAACAAATTAAAAATATGATCACTGTTTTCCCAATTTGCTGAAAAAATGTTAAATTGAAGTCACAACCATTTTTTCTATTTTTCCCATGGAAAGTTCTCACTGCTATATAGTTTCATATGGAAAATGTTGTCCAACCCCCGCATATGTTCTTTCATACCTCATGAGATAATGCTGGTCAGTCACACTGAAAAATTAACTGCAGATCGGCTGATTCTTGTTCATTTGGGGGTAATGTAATATTTTGTTCGGTCTGTGTAGGTCTTTGGTGGTGACCTCGTCGATGTGACTTAAGCATCAAGCACAAGTAGACATTTAGTTATACCTCAGTGAGTCATTTCGCCAGACGGAATCCATATCGACCTATTCTTAGCTGTTTAGGGTAATGAAAATATGTTCCTTGTGTCGGTCTTATTGGTGGGACTGAGGTTTTGTTCACACTTCCAAGACGACTCTCAACTCTTGGCCGCTCGAGCTGGGCAATGTTATTTTTTGTTCGGTCTGATGTCGTCGTGGGTTCTAGGACACCTAACCCCTGGAAATCCAACCTCCGGATAACCACCCCCAGTCAACTACCCCCTAGGACAACTACCCCTAGGGCGACCACCCTCTAGGAAAGCTACTCCCCCAGACAACTACCCCCTAGGACAAGTACCCCGGACAACGGGGGTAGTTGTCCGGGGGTATTTGTCCTAGGGATAGTTTTCTGGGGGTAGTTGTCCGGGGTTTAGTCGTCCTAGAGGGTCGTTGCCCTAGAGGATAGTTGTCCTAGGGGGTAGTTGACTGGGGGTGGTTATCCGGGATGGATGTCCAGGGGGTAGGTGTCCGGATACGGTCGGCGCGACCTCTGTCTCTTTGTGTGACCAAGGTATTTCATCTCAGTCCCACCACCACCAATCCGACACAAGATGAACACCAATCCGAACAATGTTGACCATTGCAGGTAATATAATCGTCCGTTCGGTTTAAATTCGGTCAAGCCAGATTCAGTTTTGTTGGTGTGACTGCGAGTAACATGGAGAAAGATTTGTTTGTAACAAAACAACTTACCTCCAGGAAAGCTCTTTTGACGTTCAGCAGTAGCATGCTGAAGATTCCAGTGAGATAATCTGTTACGTTCTTGATATCAAGCCGCCCCGTTCCAATATGATGGGTCTGGATTCCTACTCCCGCCAGCTCCGCTAAGGACATCAGCTCATTGAAGTCAATCTACATGTCAAACAAAATGACATTAATCACGAGTACTATTTTCTTCGTTTGCATTATACATCAGAAGCAGCGATAAAGAACGGCATTTGTTATGATGTAAATCGCAATACGCTATAATGTTTCGCAGTTTTAAGTGAATACGTAAAGGGGCCTACGTACCAGTCATTTGCACGTACATGTAGAAGAACAACAAATAAGCAGCGGCCCTTTTTTGTGAGGCGTTTTACTGTGTCATGTCTTTAAAAAAAAAAGTCATTACACCGCCAAACCAACTCCATACTGACGAACCTTTAGCCATAAGGGCTAATGTAAATGATTGTTCGGTCTTGTACGTGTTACCATGATTTTACTCCGGCCATCACGAGCTGCCCCCCTTTTTTTATTTCATTTAACATATATATTCTTTCAGCTTTTAAGGAGGGGCGTTCCTGCTTACTACTGAGTAAGATTTGAAATCTTCTAGATTTTACTATTTGATTTTGAGTAAATTTTGCATTGCTGCAGGAAGGTACTGGACAACTTTAAATATACGCATCTAATTAGTCTACATAGCAATTGAAAGAAATTTGAGAGTCGGTCTAAAATGAAACGCAGTACGATGAGGAAAAAGGTAAAGAGAGTGGGACACTGGTATACAATTCGATGTTAAAGAGAGTATCAGTTACAAATTATTCTTAGTTAACCCATGGGCTATGGAAACCGAGTGGTCACGGTATTAAGGTTATGTGAATAAGATAATTCTGAAGTCAACGGGTTAAGAAAAGGATGTACCTCTCCGTCGGAGTTAGCATCAAGGCTGTCAAATATTTCGTCGACAGTCAGATTTTCCCCGAACAAAATGTGAGCATGGTCAGGTGTAAACTCCTCATTCTATCATGAGAAGAAAAGATCAAACATTGAAACAAAACGGAAACAGAAATGCACGCGGCTGAAAACAATAGTCTGAGATAGCAGAAAATAGCTAATGAAAGGGCTAGCTGTCGGAATGATGATAATTTGTATTAGTTGTAACAAAATTGATTTGGGTTTAAATGACACTAATAAGTGACCTATCAAGTCAAGGCAAAAGAAGAGAAAAAATTGTGGTAACGTCAGTAAATGCTGTTACATTAGAGGAATATCTTTCCAATGTCAGACTTCAGTTATAAGAGGAAGTATGAATCTTTGTAAAATATATATGGTTTAAGAATAAAGACGTGGTTCAGTAAAAATTTTCCAATAAGTCTCTCGGTCACTTTTACAACTTTTCGTTCATTCCTTGATTAGACGACGACGATTAGATATTTTAAAGTGAAATACGATACGTACATTGTTGAAGACTTGCTTGAACGCGTTGATATTAATCATAGTACCTCCGATACTATTTTGATCCAGAACCTTCAGAAAACGGGTCATGGCGTCTGTCACCAGGCGATGATGTTTACAGTTCAATTCACGCTTCTGTTTTATTTTGTCGTGAGCTCTAGATGAGGCCAATTTAAAGTCGGTAAGAATGGTTAGATACATAAAAATAATCATACAGGAAACAAAAAGTCAGACTCGTTTGACATGCGCTGAAAAGAAACTAATAATAATAATACTTTGGTTTATATAGCTCTTAATACAGCGGTGAAGTCTCTTAGCACTTTACAGATATATCATTATCTCTCTGTAATAAGAAAAAAAGACTTGATATCTGATATCTAGCCTGCCGAGAGTGAATTATTCTCAATACGCTCCCATTATGGTATAAGTCATGTAGGCATGATGAACACGAGGCGCGACAGATATCGTATATGAACAAAGAAATGTTCATTGTTATCAACTTTACAAAGGTTTAGACAAATCGAATACTTTAACAACAACAATAACACTATAACAATAATAATAATTACAATAACAATATTCATAAAGCACTTAATACTAGAGGCACTAAGCGCTGTACTTTTATTACCCCGGCATTAGCCGATTTGCAAGATAAGGCGCTCTGGCATTAGAGGAATTTTTCCCTACCGGATTCTCATTTACATCCCCCGGGTGGAGGTTGGCATATATACATGTGGATCATGTCTTGCCAAAGGACATTGGGCCGCGGCGGGACTCAAACCTCGAACCATGTGATCCACAGTCCGATGAAAATTCGCGGTGGACAAGAGAATATTCTACGTATACTATCAGTCAACTTACCTGGCAAGTTTTGTATCTGGTATAGGTGCAATGGGGGCTTCTAAATCTGGATTGGTAGCCAGTACATGGGAGTCGTAATCACTGTACTGTTGGAAGAAGAGCAAAATACAATTTAAGCTTTCAAACATTCGACAGTTAGTTTGATCTCAAGCTAGGTCGGGACAACTCGCGAAGGCAACCTGAATGTAATTGACAGGGTCTGGCTTCAAAGATTAGAAACATTAAAAGTATTTGATTGAAAGTATCACCTATTTGAACAGACATCGCATCCCTTCCGTTGTTCAAATAACAATTTGCCTCTGTCATTATATTTTAACCCTGGCGTGCGGCCCCGGTGAAATATTACATAACTCTGAAAATTGTAAATGTGTCGGTTGAAATTATTTGTTATATTGAATGCAGGAGCATGAACTTACGATGATCATGCCAAAGGTTTTGTCGTTGAACATTCCAAACCTTTCCTTCTTTGTGAGAAGCTTGGCTGCATCCTCCAAAGGTTGCATCTTCTTCAGGAGAGCATCTTCAGGTTTCATAGAAAGCCACCACCCTATCAAAGCAGACAAAGTCAGGTTCCTGTTTCATGAAACTTGTTATCAATAACAACTTACAATACATTTTATAATCATGAAATGAGGCAATTTATATGTACAAGTAAATATACATCTGAGCATCTAGCGGTCTCTGATACTTCGTATTTGTGGTGGTGACGTTATTCAAATCTATCTCCTTATATTATCTCACTTTTTTTTTCCTTTTCCTATACTCTCTTCCTTCGCCCTCATCTATTTGTTGTTTTGCCATTCGATTTTTGGAGCACATGTCCCCGTGCTCCCACCCCTGTCCCCATAGCTACGCCACTGTTTGTTGCTACTCTTTGATATTCGACATTATCAAATGAGTATACTTACCATCGAAACAGTGAACTGGATAGTTACACAAAACACCGCCGTCGATATAGAGATCGGTTCGACCCATGTATTGCCGCTTTACAGGAAGGAACACAACTGCGCAATAATAAGGTAAGAAACACCAACAACAAAACAAAACAATAGGTTGATGCAAATTTCATGAGATATAAGGCTCGTTTAGATATGACGCGTCGAAACATAAAATACGGAAATAAGAAGCGTTTACATGTTACTCCATACAAAAAAGGTTTCACGCATCATACGTGAACGAGGCTTTAACAAACGAGGCTTCTACAGGTAAATTTAATACTAGATACATGATAGATTAGATTACATGATACACCGGAGTATTAAATATGATTACATTCCCCATACAGTAGACATGAAAACGTAGCATATAAGAGAGATTCGTGCTCGTAAATTAACGTAAAACATTAACACAGGGTATTTTGATAATAAGATTTACGGTAATATTCCCGGAGTGCTATCGAAATTAAAGCCCCTCTAAAGTGATCGGAGCCCAACAAATTTGATTGCAAAATTTCACTGTAGCATAATGTGAAAGAAAATGTAATTTCAGACACATTTCTGCAAGAACTTTTTTTTTTAAAGCGTTTGAAGTCGAATATCGATGGAAGAATACAAAATTGAGGTTTTCTGCGTCCATGTCGATATTGAATTTCTTGCAAAAATAATCAGTGGATATATTCATTTGGTTTTGCATATCAACGGTTTTTAGAAGTTGTCGCGTAATTTCAAATAGTTTCGTTCTCACCTGGAGTAGACATAGACATCCTGATAGCTGTCCTTATTGGCATGTTGGGAGTGGTTTTGACGTGACAATATTCCTCCATCATGGTGGTTAGATTGGTAACCACCACGCATAGTTCTCTCCCCGTCGTAACATAAAGGTCCTATTACAGGAAGCAAGGGACGAACGATTATAACTATCATTATAGAAACAAGAAAATTTATTCATGTTTATGTTCATGATCATCAAAATAATGTCTTGATTTCCGTATTCTTGACAAATTGTAACCCACTGCTGGGGTTAAGAAATAGACGAACTAGCGTTCCCAATTATATACATGAATATACAAATCACTCATGTTTGCGAGTGCATTAGTGATTATACACTGCAAGTAGATTATGTCACAGTAAGATAATGAATAAGACTTGTCGAGCTCATTGTCCGTCTCGTTGTGACTTAACCCTTATAAGGCCGGAGGGGCCATTATGCCCCCCCCCCTACGATTTTTCCGATTGATCGGGAACGCATATGGATGGCGCCCCGCCGCTCGCTGACTTTTTTCTTTCGAGTCTTGCGCAACTTTTAAAAGATTTTTTTTTTAAATCGGACCTACGGTTACAAGGTCACGTGACTTTTTGTCTTTGCATGTCAGCCCGAAATTCGCTCATTTTCGTGATTTGTGTACAAAACATATGGAAAAGTCATTTTTCCTAAAAACAGATCAAACATGGGTTATTGGGTCTTGTTTGAAGTTTAGGTGGTTGTTTTTGAAGTCAAAATAGTTAAATTGTAGTAAGAAATGAAATAAAACAACAAAAACAATGAAATGCATAAGTTAAAAAAACAATGAAATACATAAGAAATTATCAAAACAAGGGATAACATAAGGATTAAGCTGGCTCTTCCAAATTTTTTGTCGTATTATTATTCAGAATGGTCTAATGAATATATGTAGTGAAAAAATAATGCTTAATTATATGAATAATATATGATTTACGGGTAAAAATGTGATTTTTATGACTTTATTTGCATAAATTACCATAAATATGCAAATGAGTAAGTTTTTCAAAAATTTGAAAATATGATATTATTCTATACACTTCACTTCACATGCGTGCAAATTTTCGCGGCGATCGGCCGCTTCGCGGCCGAGATCTTAAGGGGGGCCATAATGCCCCCCCCCCCCGGCCATACTAAGACCTCAAATAGCCCGGCCTTTTTAGGGTTAACCAGTGCAGTGCATACTACTCAGTGGCGGATCCAGGGGGGCGTCCCCTGGGGAAAAAAACGTGTAAAAACACGTTAATTTACCCTTTTTTGGAGATGGCCCCCCCCCCCCCCCTGGCGCTCAAGGGGGGGGTGCGATTTTCCAAATTTTCGAGGGCCCCCAACAAAAATTAGTGGCAACGACATTAGATACAGAGATCTAAAAAAAAAAAAAAAAAAAAAAACAATCACCTTCAAGATTCAGGCTCTAAAACAGAATTTGCTTCAAATTTAGCTGATTTAGCCTCTTCTCCACCAAGAAAGCTTGAAATCCATTTAAATTTAAATTTAAATCATATGAATATTCAGATCATCAATAATTAGGATCATAGCATTTTAAATGTTCTAATCAAATGCTACTGCAACCTCTTCAAAAATCGGATTGTAATCAGATCGCATAGTATATGTGGTAGACTTTTAAGGAATTCGGAAATGATCTTAGAGCAATTGTCGGAGGAACACGTATTGTACAACGGCTGACTTACCTTGAAAGTTGCGTTTGGGTCTCCTAGCTTTTCAGCAATGCCTTCACCCAGAGACTGATAGAGGGTCCTTCCAGGATGCCATCCCATGTACCTAAACAGGTTGGGCACCAGGCTGCATTTTCCACATGGTGCATCTTCAATAAGAGAAACCACATGAGGAGGAATAAATAATGAGTATATTGTGATTATTCATAATGTCGTTGTCACTTATTATGACGTGATGTTTAAATTATCGTTTAAATTACGTTTAAATTATCTTGCAAATCACGCGAATTGACCACTCACTAACCAACTCAGAAAATTCTAGAAAATTAAAAATGCCTGTAGTGCTGCACTTATACCATGTTTGGCTGGTTTATCAAATTTATTTTATTTTATTCATTCATAGCAACCAAAGGGTTGGATTGTATACATTTTCAACATGATTATGAACATTAATAAATTCAGTACAATGAAATTGATAAATTATGAATAGAAATACAATGTTATACAAATTGTTATCTTTTTCTTAAAAGACACTTCTGACTCCTCTTATACGCATATTTTCATATTCTGGAATATGTATACAATTCGTACGTTAACCAGATATTTTGTCACACCATCGAGACAGCCATCAAACTGCACAAGAAAGTCCATTAACTCTACTGTCCAAGCATTGGTCGGTTTGGCGGTTTGACGAAGTACCAGGACTGGCCTGGACGCCCCTTGCAACCGGACTACACACTCATGATAACTTCCCCCTAGACGAATACCCCTCCCCCGTTCGATTACCACTTAAACACTCACCCGGACGACTATCGCCGGACAGGTACTGGTCAAGGACATAATCCTTTAAGTAATCACACCCAATTACCCTTCAAACAACTCTAAGCATAATTGCGGGGAATTCTACGAGGGTTGTGGGCTAATGGGACAATTTTCAAAGTGGTTAGCTAACCTAGGTAAATGCAGCTAACACTCCTAGCCCTTCATTTCTGCCTACATTTAAAAAAAATCACAACCTGCGGTACGTGGTGCCTATATTCAGCGGCGTAGCGTGATTCCGGAAATGTATGGGGCACACGCTTTTTTGCAAAATAATTCGGTTATCAACTAAGAGGAGATCGTAGTGTCTTTTGGTCATGTTTCCCTTCCGGTTCCCCCACTTCTCTCACTATTAACATAACGGACAAAGAAAGTGGACAAAATATACAGTTCCTCAGATAGACAAAGGAACATCCCTTCACTGCTATTATGTAAAAAGGTGAATATGCATGTGACACCTGTTCTACACATTTTTACATAATAGCAGTGAAGGGATGTTCCTTTGTCCACCTGAGGAACTGTATATGTTGTCCGCTCTCTTTGTCGGTCATGTTCATAGTGTCTTTTCCCCTTGTGTCTTGCTGTTTCTACTTCCATTTGATGGTAGGGGGGCATGATCCCATGTGCCCCTGTAGCTATACCACTGCCTATTTTATCACTGTTATATATTTCCCTAGAATCGATTCGATTTTATTTTATATTCGTTTATCTTACACGACCGCAAATATGTCCGGGATATTAACAGGGGGCAATGTTAGAATAACGCAATAGGTCACTGTAATGTTTGCAAATATCCTCCAGAAAATACCGGACTAGGCTATTGAAACTGCTTGAAGTTGATTTCTCGAAAGGCTTTGCGATCGTACGTGTAGATACTCTAATTTGTTTCTCACCTAAGAGGTCGTTTAATTGAGGTCCATCTTTTATCATGGAGAGAAATTTGCTGGTCCCGTGGCCTACGGCGAGATAAGCAGCTGTCGCCGAACCAATGCTGGAACCAGCGAAACGACGAATCTTGCTCAAGAAGTTAAGTCGCTCCAACTCCTATTTGATACAAAGAATTAAAGAGCGTGCAAGAGTTCTGATAACATTAGCAACAGTTTGTCGGCATTTATGGGTCATTTTAAAAGAATTTCAACACTTCGAATTCGTCTCACCCGGCGGTCCGCTGCAGAATGTAACAGTCGATTTCGTCTTTGTGAAATCAATACCAAGGAAGTTTCATTAAAATCCATCGCATAGACAAGACGAATGACGAATTTGAATGACGCTTTGACGATTTCGATTGCAAAATGACGCAATTTTCCGTTGGCAGCCGGGGACGACGAGATCGATTTGACTTTACCGAAATTGGATACGAAATTATGAAATTGATTGGACAAAGTTAGAAAATGAATTATCAATGACGAAATTGACTATGAGATGTGCAAAATTAGGAAGCTTTCGGACGAAATAAAAATGACAAGAGTACTGATTGAAACAAAGTGTTAAAATGGACAGGAAAACCTAATAGTAGTAGAACTAGTAGTATAGTACTGGTAGAGGTAGTTCTATAGTAGTAGGAATATTTAATCGCTTCTCACCATTATGGCGCCAATATAAGCATTTCCCTGGCTTCCACCGCCTTCCAAAACGAGGTTCTCATACGGGAAATCAACATCGTCAATGTCTTCAGCAATACTCGACAACGCAGTTGCCTGAAATCCGTTCTCAGATTGTTTTGGTTGACCGGTCGTAGTTGATGCGTCAACTTCGTCTATTTCTTTTAGAGCACTGAGTCTCCTCTCGAATCTGGCATTGAATTAGGATGAGAACAGATTTTTTTGTAAAGCCCTAAAGAAGTTTTAATCTGTCGTGGTTTGAAGAAGAAAAAAAGCAGAAGCAGCAACAACAACAGCGACAACAACAACACCAGCAACAAAAGGGCAAAAAATATTGATAACATGATAGCTGAACAAATTTGTTTGTATCTCAAGATTAATATTAGAAAACTTTCAATTTTCCAGACATGTTTAGATTGTGCAATCGACATATAGTTAAACCATAGCTAGTAGAGTCGGGCTAGTTATGTCATCTGAATGGCCTGGCTGGAATGCTCCCCAGGGAGTGGAGTATGAACATATACTGTGTGCAGGCAAGCCTAAATCCGATGACTGGGATAATAATACATCTGTAAAGCGCTTAGAGACATCGTGTATGTACAAATAAACAAACAAATGAACAAAGAGAGAATAGATTATCGTTTGTCTAACTAAAGGGAAATGATACATTTGTGACATTATTAGCACATGCACATTATCATAGCGTTTTAAAACCAAGCATCTACCTACTTTGATGTTTGAACTATAGTGTTTTTATGGCAACCCTTTTCAAGTATAGTTTTCTGACATATCAAATTCCGCCATATAGTTACCATACCAACATAATGTTCTCGCACAAATAAAATTTCAAAAGACCATGGTTTTGATTATAATCAAACTTTAGGCATCATTTTACTTTAGTAATATATCTTTTTTTCAGTTTCTCATTTGAAATATTTATTATTTTCTTAAATTCTCTGTTACCATTGCGACCACCAAAACGTGAGCATAACCCTGACTGGGAAGACTGATATTTTTCATTAAAATGAAATTGGTAGCTGGAAAAAGATTTATGTAACCACTAACATTATATTTTGTTGTTGTTGGATGAAAAATGTATATCATTTTAAATACGTAACCATGGAAATAGCTAAAGGCGTCATTAAGAAAAAAGTCAACAGGTAGATTCGTGTTCAGCACCCCGGAATTAGGGGAAATATATCATAGAATCAGATTCCAGGCTAACTAAATAGTTTTCCTATTCATAAAGCTATTGCGTTCATTCTTTTTCAGTCTATTGATGTTATTTAAACCTGCCATTATAAAGGCTAAACGTAGGGGGGAATTGAACGCAGTGAATTAAAAAAAAAATATTGGTCTGGTGTCGATCTCGTCGGTATGACTGGGATATTCAGTCACACCAATGAGACCGACACCAATCCGACAAGAGACAGAAAAAAAGGAAGAAGAAGAAGGAGAAGGAGGAGGATGAAGAAGAAGAAGAAGAAGAAGAAGAAGAAGAAGAAGAAGAAGAAGAAGAAGAAAAAAGAAGAAAAAGAAAAAGAAGAAGAAAAAGAAAAAGAAGAAGAAGAAGAAGAAGAAGAAGAAGAAGAAGAAGAAGAAGAAGAAGAAAAAGAAGAAGAAGAAGAAGAAGAAGAAGAAAAAGAAAAAGAAAAAAGAAGAAGAAGAAGAAGAAGAAAAAGAAGAAAATAGAAATAACAAGAATATAACCCCGGATAGAAAAATGAAGCAATCTTTTCGAAGTCGGTGTAGAGTCGGTTCTTCGGTGCAAGTAGGTTATAGTAGGGACTTTTAGATTATGCACGCCGAGAACATGGACTGCCCTTTTAAGGCAATGTGACGCCACTGCCATGCAGTGCCTTAAAGATTCTATATCCCTTTTGCAGCCAACCTCAAATTCTGTAGAACTTTGCAGGAATTATGAATATGTCATGTATGTCATATCTGTGAAATATAAACATTAGCAGTGTCCTAATTTTCAAACTAAGCAAGAAAACCAGTTTCCTTGCTAGACTTCACTGTCAGACACTATTGAGTGACTGACTGGCTTTTTTCTTCTTTGGTAATAACACACAGAACATGAGCTGTAAAGGGTACATGAGCATTTGTCTACATCAATAACCCACTTCTTGTGACGGCCAAAATTAAATTGATTGAATCTTTGCGCAGCATAAAACGTACAACCATTCGGTACAATGGTCTGAAAATCAAGACTATTACTTATTGGCTCTATAGCTCCTAAGTCGGTTTGACAACTAACAGTCGTTATTTTCCCACTTGAAGAAATTTTCAAGCCCCAAGTTTTTTAGGGAAGTTCTCAATTAGTATTATCTTTCAAATGTCATTGGAATTTTACCTTTTCATTTTTTGGCCTGCAAATAGGACATAGTACCATTAAAAAGACGTCACATTGCCTTAAAATGGCAGTCCACGTTCTCGTCGTGCAGAATCTAAAAGTTCCTATTACCGACAAGAGGTCAGCCCCTATACATCTACATGTATATACATCAATTGTCACTGTCCAATAGCCCATGAAACTTTTTTGTATCAGCGTTTTCCCAATGTATTGGTCTTGACTTACTCAACAATGATGACATGTGCTTCAATCATGGCTTGACAATAACGAGAGTTCGGCCACTGTCTAATATCCATTCAACCTGACACCAATCCTTTTTTAATTTCTATTTCATAACGAGCTCATTATGGTATGCT